CAGTTTCGTCACCGACTTCCTGCGCGACTCTGGTTAAGTAGCCAAGCTAATCATGTCATCTGTGACCTGGGGACCATACCGCACCACCTCGGAGAGAATGAAATGAAAGAACGTGTGTCAAGCGCACGGCTCTGTACCTGCTCACAGCCACTACAGCTGCTGTTTCCTACTAGAGATGCATCGGGTTCCAGGAGCTCTCCGGTTTCTGATGCAGATCTCTTGAAACGAAGGGGCTCGAGTCTACGCGGCCATCAAAATACTCACAGAGAGTAAGAGCAAAAAGAAAACACCTCCTCGGAGTTTGAAAGGCCGTTCTAGCATCCAGAGTAGACACACTGAGCGTAAAAAGATGAACCTCCACGTTGACTTTTTTTTTCCAAGCGGACTTTTTAGATACTTTTTAGCCCTCCCCGCCACGTGTAGAGAACCACTCTTCTCGCCGTCAGTCATGCTGAAGTGTTTGCTTCTTTTCAAGGCCCCGCGAGGTGCAGAACTGTGAAGTACAGTCAGCGAAGAAGCTGAGACAAGAATGACGGCTTCTACCGGGAACCCCCTTGCCAGTCCCTCAAATGCAAGTAAGGCCTTTTTTTGCTTTTTTTTTACTTAATCAACAGCCATTAAACGTCTAACAATCAGAAAGTGAAGTCCTATTACTCAGGAGCTATACAGAGGGCCAATGTTCAATGCCATGTGCCACCCACAATGCGCCCTACATAAAAAGGAGTGTGTTGTCATTTGATCCAATGATAGAACATGTGAGCATTAGACTGGGTTGTAAGGAATTTAAAGGAATCTGCAGAAAATGGGTTAGGCTCCTTCTCCGCCCCTGCCATATCCCTGAGGTATATCTTGCTCGGAATGGAATGAACTTCGACAATGAGTACAGTACATCAAGGAAAAACAGACACGTGCTGAAAGTCCATTTATTCACAAGCTCTTACATTTGTTAGATTTCCATATTTTCTTTTCAGCGTTTTCTTGGAATTTTCACAACCCCATAGGCCCCCGCATTTGAATTGTCTGTACTAGAGCTTCCTAATGCCTTCTTCCCGGTGGTACTTGGTTAATTTGCAGACCTATGAAATCACAGGATTCCTACTGACAACTCAAGAGACTAGAATTTGAGGAACTTAGATTATACAAATCAATCCAAGCTCTTAAGGCTGAGCACATGGAATAAAAATGAAGTTATCCATAGTGATGTGGATTGTATAATCTTTATTATCTTTGAATCCACTGGTCTAAAAATCACACATATCAGATTAAACAGGAATACCACAGTATGTTTTATTTTGCAGGTATCGATTAGTTCACTAAATTGATATGTCCAAAACTTTAGGTTGCAGCAAGCATCCGTTCTTCCAAAGAAGCTTAGGTGAAAAACAATCCTTTATATCTGTGAGTTCAAAGTCCTACTGTCTGATCCACTGTTGTACTGACAGAAAAATGAACTCAGTGAGCAAAGCTAATTGAATCCTCAGTTCATAGATTTGGGGCTTCCCATTCTTTATTGGAATTAAAGCAGCTTTTGTTTTAACCCTCCACAAATATTTTGTATTTTAATCTTCATTCTCAAACAAGAATTAAACACGTCTGCTAATTATCTAAGATAAAGCCATGATATCTAATGATGAATTAGTGCTATTAGTCTCCTACCCGGAAGGTAGAAAACTTCTAAGTGAAGCCTTAATTCTGAATGTATCTGAATTTCCAGTTCATATACTTAGCAAGGTCACAAGCTGATTTACATCATCCGGCTTTCCAGACAATCATCTCAAAAATATTCATCGAAATTAAGCCACTGTTCTTTATGGTGCCATCATTTTGACCAAATAACAAATAAGCAATTGTTTTCACAGAACATGTTAAAAGAAAACCTTCTTTCTGTACTTAGCAAATAGAGGCGAGCTTGAATCTGCCAGTCAGAGCTAGAGAGTTCTAAGGGAGATGTAACTGAGCAATCTGACTCTATGCCACATTGGAAAAGATGCTTTCGAGATGAACATATAGATAAGATAGCAAAGAAAGATCTTGATGAAGTCTCTTCCTTTTTAGCAAAATTTTCTAATTCCAGTTACTGGCAAAGAGTTCTGGCATCAGTTAAGGGCAACACCACAACTGCATTGTGCTGAGAGGTAGACTGGGACTTAATCCTTGGATTTAATAGCAAACTAACTTTATTTAAGGTTTAGGCTTCATTTTTTAATCCATGGAACACTTCTGAAGCGAAGGCAGATCTTTGGAGACTTTTGTTTTTAGTTAGAAAGAAAACAGCTTGGTAAAATAAACATTTGCCTTATGCTAATACCAGGTATGCAAAGTAGCCATTTGGGCCCTAGAGAAAGACAACACTGTGCTTCCAAATCAAAGGGCAATTCAACAGCCTAGCCAACCAAGCAGGCCCTGGGATGAATGGTCTCTAGTACCTTACTCCAGAAGCCAGAGCCATGAGAGGTCCCTACAGGGATAGAAGTCTCTATCAAGATCAACAAATTTACAGTATAATCCCAGTCCAGCTTTGGCTAGGCAGCCATCTGACTGATGATACTTCAGAACCCACTAGCCTCTAGAGTTAGCACTTGCTGCTGCAAGAAAAAAGAAATCAATACATTAAAAAATGTCAATCAGAACTTATTCATGTAGGGAGTGGGAGAGTGCAGGAGGCCCACAAAGTATAGAAGTGGTTTGGGGGTTTTTTTTGGTGGAGGATGAACTCACTTTCTGGACAAGTTAAGACTCTAAGAAAAAAAAAAAATCTAAATTATAACCCTAAAAAACCATAACCCATCCTATATCAACACTTAAAAAAAAAGCTGAAGATCTTAATTCATTCTTCAGATAAATATCAAGTCTGAGATAATCAATATATTCCAAACTCCAGGAGGCAAAAGAAAAAAAAAGACATCCTTATTAAAATACAGTTGCCACGAATGGTAATGAAGAAAACAGGCAGACTTTTGCTATTAAGCACATATTGTGAAGCCATTTCTTTCTCTCTCTTTTTTTTAACAGAAAAATACTAAACAGATTTAAATAATCCTGATCAGGAGGTGAGGAAAGGAAGTCTTATTATGAACCAAATTTTATGCTTGCCACCAATGAAAAGGAATTCATTGTTCTTGAATTTATTTCCCCAAGCAAGTTAAATTCTCTAACAGCTTTGATTTTGTAAATACTGTCAACCAAAGTAGCAAAATACAAGTAGCTGCAACATACAAAATTATTCTTCAGTAGAAATGCTTTCATAATTGAATCCAGAAGCTTAAAATCATTATTTACTAAAAAACATATTCTAAGCCACAATTTTTCTTCCAATTACACTTTAACAAAGGAAGAAAAAAAACAGAAAAAAAAATTGGTCCTAATACATTTTTTTTTTTTAAATAAGAGCTACTCATGCCCAAGTTAGCTAGCAATTCACTGAGGTTAGTCTGCATGTCTTAAACAATCGATTGCACAGCATTTCCTGGCATCTAGCCAATGGAAATGTAACTTCTGATGGCAAAAAAAAAAGCGCACTAGATTTAATTGATTACACAGACTGATAACCAGTACGACTTTTCCTTCTTCCAATCATATAGGAGATAAAGACAACAATTATAAGGAAGCCCAAGGCCACACCCACTGCAACAGGAATAAGAAAGTTGAGGTCAGAGTCAGCAGAACATTCTTCAGCTGTTAGAAAAGAACAGACAGAGAGCAAGGAAATTAGTAAGGAAGGCAATTAAGCAGAAACAAGCCAACAAGAAACAAGCATTTCGAAAGTGAATGTACATTAGTCTTTAATAGCGTTACCTCTATGTCCCTATTCCCTCGATATCCACCCAAATATTTCTAAGGAACCGATCCTCCAATATCTCCCATTATTACTTCATCTCAAATCACACCTAATTTCCTCAGTACAAAAAGCAGAAGTTAAGGGACAAACAAGAAAAGATCTGTGCTCACCTAACACGGGAAGATTTTATGTTTGTCTAATAGCACTGGGGAAAAGAGCAATCATCTACACTTAACTGCCCGCCTGTGTGTTTTCCCGCTCCCTTTCTCCCTTGCCACAATTATCATCAATATATAAATAAGAATTCTGTAGGACTAATAAAATTTAAGTTAAAAAGGACTTGGGGTCAAGAAAATGCGGTATAATATTTTTTTTTCCCCACACGGGCATCAGGTTGTCAGGTTATAAACGTGATTATTTGTAGCTGAGCAGTGGCCTGGAAGAATAATAGAATCCAGTACATCGGAGTCCATTCCGGGACTACCAGGAAGGCAGTGTGTATGTAGATTTTGAGCTTTGGACTCAGACAGAACCGACTTTGAATCTTGACTACTTCCCTAACTAGCTAAACGACTTTGGTCAAGTTATTTAAACTGGGCCTCATGTTCCTCACCTGTAAAAGGGGGATAATCATGCCCGTACTTAAGGTATTTGAGGACTAAATACAATTCTATTTCCAAAGCATCTGACATACATCAGGTGGTCAACCAGTGTTCATTCCCTTCTTTCCTGCCATGTCTGTGATCCCATCCAAGGGTTAGGTTTTGAAGTAGCAAACAGAGATCAAAAGCCAATATTCAGTACTTTCAAAAAATACTTAAAGTTGGCATCGTGTGTTAGTTATTGAAAGTAGTTAGTACAGAAGCTCAAAGTGCCCCCTTCTGATCCCATAATTTCATGTTTAAACTAGTTTTACCAGTGAGTGATTAGATTTCCTTGGGACAATTGCTATCAAAATGCTAATAAGGGTGTTGCTGCCCACTAGATAGGTAACCTCAGCGAAGTCACTCCCTTTTCTGTGAAATTATAGGGTTAGAGTCAATAACCTTTAACGCCCTTTCCAGTATAAGCCTAACGTGATTAACAAGATGTGATATTTGGTGTGATTTATGATTGAGTGATAACTTGCACTTTTTCCTCTAATTTTATCTTTTGTTCCTTTTGTACTTTTGTCATTCATTAAAAACACAACACAACACAAAACAAAACAAAAAAGAGTTGCTAAGTTTCCAAGTACATGGATTTCAGTATTGACCATAGCCTTTATTGGAAGGATCCACCATATTTCACGAAAAACCTTCAGAGACAGACAGATAGCTGGGTACCAAGATACTGTAATCAGTGAGTTACAGAAATTCTGAACAAGCCAATATATACACAGAATGAATTAATATAAGAATCACTTGGATGTGAATGTCTGCTCCAGTCCATTGGTTAAGCTTCCTTCTTATTTGTCTATACATTCAATATCTGAGCTGCACATATGACAAGGCGTATGCTTCAATAGGGGCTGATTATCTAGCTCATTTTCATGACAACAGCTTCTCTCTACCCCCCCCCCCAATCTATGCTCTGCCCCACGGGGGCCTTCTTGAAGAAGCAAGAGCCTAGTTGCTATGCATCACTGCCTCCCTTCTGAGATTGCTGTTAGCTTACATTTCATAAGTACCAGTCTGATGACAACACTAAATAGATTTTAATGCTCTAGAGATCAACAAGATGAGGTAGAGAAACACAACACAATCTGTCCTAATTAGTTCATAGTTCATGCTAATCAGGCATCCAAAGAAGAGAAAAACACACGGGAAAAAAAAAGACAAGCGGTTATATGTGCTTGAATCTTCTCAGTCTTTGCTGAAAAAGAAACAATTTTTCTAAAACTCTAATTCTGAAGCCAGTTTAAGTTCTGTTGTGGCCTCTTGGGGCTGTTTTTTACCTAGGGAAAAAATCACAAGCCTGAGATACTGACTTCATCCTTAAATCAAACTCAAAGAAAACAGCAAAACCGAAAAAATCTTGATGGTCCCGAGGACATTCAACTGAAAACCAAGTTTGCGCGTATCTGATGGGCATTTATGTCACATCAATATGTATTAAATGAACTACACGCAAAAGTACTGTGATGAGCTTAAATCAGGATAGTTCTTATACATTAAAACAGAACACTTGTAGTTAAACAATATTTATTAATTCCATTAAGAGACAACTGCATATTTTATTCTTATAATGGCCATGTTAGTAAGTTTAAGGCATCTTAGGTTAGGATCAAAATTTGGCCAAGGCCTCTTAGGATAGACCTCAACACACTGCAGCACACCAATGTGTTTTTAACCAGTTTGTCTTCAGGACCAGTGAACACAGTATTTAATTTTCAGCCGAAAAAAAGAGAACAGTTTTTATTCATAGAGACTTATCTCAAAATGCTGGGACTGATTCAAGAATTAACGTTTCGACATATCAATCTTAGAGAGCAACGTGTTTCAAAATGGAGAGGCAAGAAAATCTCATGTGCGTGTATTTTTATATCATCGATCAGATTGCAGGTTCTAAAATTGCTCATATCCAGCGTGATGGCGCTTGAGACCAATAAAGTAAGCCAGCAACACTAGAATAAGTATTCCTGCCAAGGCTGCTCCCACCACAATGGGCACAAGGAAGTTGTCGTCATCTGCACTGCAGTCTTGAGCTAGATGTGGAGAAAGGACAATTGAGAACAGAAACAATGACACAATTTCCAAGCCGCAAATGTTAATACCCAGCCTTGCCTCTGACACCGCGGTCACCAGGCATTGGCATTCCTTACCAGCGAATGAGAGGTTCCACAAAAGTGATCCTCCAAGGAACCAAACCATACACTTTTAGGTACCCCGCCCCCCCCCGCCCCCGCAAAACACAGTCATTTTGGCTGAAAGAGAGATTATCAACCGAACACCTACTGCCCAGATTTCTTAAACAGAAGATAATGGATAAATATAACGAATCTTCCCTTGATGATCAGGGGGTGGGCTTTCGGGGGCAAACCGTTATCATGTAGAAGCAGGCACAGTGCCCAGAAGTATTAACGAAATGAACCGAACGGACAGCGACACAAAGCGGACGCACGAACTCCACGCAAGGCACTCTGGGCTCCTTCGGTGACAAAACGAGAGAAGCTGGCGCGGACGGCATGACTGTTGGCATCCAGCGTGAGTCAGACAAGAAAAGCGGTGGTTCTAATTCCGAAAGGTGCTGTCACGGGCAGGCAACGCGCGAAGTGTCACGGAAGCGTTCCAGAGACACACTGAACTCAGCCTTGTTACACAAGACGTACTTTGAAAGAGGTGACCCTGGAGCTGAGTTGTTAAGGATGAGCAGGAATTAACCGTGCAGGTGATAGGGGAAGGGCATTGCAGGTATAGGACACGGCACAGACCAAACTGTCTGGAGGGCAACCGAACATGGCACTTGAGGGGAAATGCAGGTGGGCTGGCAGAGTGGGGACAAATCGTGGCTGGAAAAGAGGCAGGAAAAGTGTAGTAGGACCAGCGCACAAAGGCATCGTAGGCTCTAGGTGCTTCCGCCTTACACTGATGGAAGGAAAAAAGAGTACGGTGGGATTTTAGGCAGGATATTTGTTGTAGAAGTCATGCCAACCGGAGACTGGCAGTGAGGAGGCGCCTCTATTGCTAGAGGCCAGAAGACCAATAATATGGTCCTGACCTGGGTGAACGAAGCATAGCTGCAGAAAGGGACAGACTAGAGATCCAACGAGAAGGCAGAATTGACCTGATGGATATTGGGGGCGTGGTGGGAGGTAATAAAATGGCTCCCAATTCCCCACTTGAGTGATTATGTAGATCCCGGTGCCATTCATCCCGACAGGGAATACAGGAGGGAGAATGTATGCATTCAGTTTTGTTGGTAGTTATTTGTGTGTGTGTGTGTGTGTGTGTGTGTGAGAGAGAGAGAGAGAGAGAGTGAAGGGTGGGGAGGGATACGTGGAAGAGGGAGACGTTCAGTTTTGGATCTTCTGGGTTTCAGATGCCTGTGTCCCAACCAAGTGGTAGGACAAAATGATGAACCTAAGTGGTAGTAAAAACCAGGGACACGTTTGTTTCTCAGCAAGGGCAAATAGAATCTAAAAAGGATCAGAGACAAAACCTTGGGAACACTCAGATTTGAGGAATAAAGGAGCAAGAAAAAGAAAAAGGCAAGTAGACAATGGCGCCACAGAAGCCAAGGAAGGTACCAGTTTTGATTAGCAAAGGGAGAAGAGTGAGAACTATTAGAGAAGCCTATCGGATCCAGTGATATGGAGGGTGTTGGCTGTGAGGCAAATTGCTGCTGGTTTAGGAGCAAATGGGAAGTGATCGGTTAGGAGATCAAGAACTTGGGATGGGGAACATTCAGTGGTCATTCCGAGAAGTTTAGAGGAAGAGAGGGCACGAGGGAGGGAGTCAGAAGGCCAACAACAGGGTCAAGAAAGGGTATCTTCGGGGTAGAAGAGACTTAAATGCGTTTGTAGAATGACGGCAAGAGCCGCAAACAATGGACTGAAGCCGACAGTACGAGGTCTCCCGGGAGGTAGGTGAAATAGGATTCCAGAAGCCCGGACAGGGAAAAGCAAAGCCAGGGAGAGTGGAGAGGAGGAAGGGATGGTGCCTGCAGACGGAGGTCCATTTGCAGAGGGAAGGCAGCTGGGATGTTGAACCACCACTTCTGTTTCCCATTTCCTTGCCTCTTACTGCCCTAGTTCTCCTCCTAGCTCGCAATCTACCAGGGATGGAAAAATCAGATAATTACACTTATTAGAAATGTGTCAAAGTAAGAATGAATAGGCTGCCAGGCAATTCTGATTGTGCCCGCATTTAAGAAATGTGCCAGGCTTTTGCTAGCCTCTGGGGCAATAAATGGGAACAAGATGCAATCCTGGAGTTTATGGACTTTATGATGTCGGCTTTGGCTGCCAGCTCAGTGAGCTTTTTTACTTGCTTCTTGGTTCTGTTAGAAATCCAGATAGCTGAGATTGCTAGATGTGACCTGGGAATACTTGGTGTTAAGAGCACCCAGTTAACTGACTCCTCTCCTTCAGTTTCCCAAATTACCACCTGCCACATCAACTATTAGGTGACACGAACCAAAAAGTATTATGCCTTGGATTTAATATAACTTGGTTTTTAAAAAATTCATTAGTAGATTAATTTCTTATTCTGGCAACAGATTCACAGTCCTCTCTTTCCCAAATTGGGTATTTGACCTAGTACTGAAACGACTTTCATAAATACTGCCAATAAGGCTTTCATGTAAGACAAATATTCCCAGAGTAGATCAAAAACGCAATTCCACTAATACAAAGATCTTTCTAGATGCTGTCACTTACTTAAAATGCTCTCAATTAGTATGTGAAGTATTAATTTATAATAACTATTGATTTTATGAATTCAACCTTTAAAAATTCTTTAGGTAATGGGAAGACATTTTGGAAAACAGTAATTTTAATAGGATCACATCCTGAGGAAAAGAAAATCTCATTCTGTAAGTCATTTTGACCTGATTTATTTGCATAATGTACACTGGAAACCATATTGAAAATATCTGGGGGGAAGGAAGAGTGTATTTGTGGAAGAACTTAATGATTAATTACAGAAGCAGTGAAGATTTTTTAAGAAAAAAGTTTCGTGGCCATTGAAATTTCAATGAAAAGTTTCATGTAGATTAAAAATACTGTTAATCCTCATTTTTCTGATAGCTCAGAAATTTTCCAGATACAATTTTCAGTGTGAGTTGGAAAGCTGAGATATACAGTTGTAATAAGAATTCATCTTAAAAACCAATTGTGTCAAAATTTCTCTTTGGAAGAATCACCATTAAGAATCATAGTCTTGGGTGCCTGGGTGGCTCAGTTGGTTGAGCGACTGCCTTCGGCTCAGGTCATGATCCTGGAGTCCCGGGATCGAGTCCCGCATCGGGCTCCCTGCTCGGC